TTTAATGGCTATATCCAAGTTTTCAAACCTTTAATGGCTATTTCTAAGTTTCCAAACCTTAAATGGCTATATTCAAGTTTTCTTCCTACACTTACTCCGGTTCATTATTACTTTAAATTAAAGTTGAAGCAAAATTTTGCCATGCATTAATGTCTTTGACTCCATCTCCTCAAAGTTTAGAAAAAAAAAAAATCAATTGACAAATACAGGATCATTCCTGTAGACGTAACTAGCTTCGTGAATGATGAAATTTTATCGGTGCATGAACTTTGATAGGTTAAATACTAATTTTGGTCCTTTAATGATGTGATAAAATCATTTTAAAAAGTGTATTAGTCGCTCTATGTAATATAATGACAAGAAGAATGTCAAACCTACAAGAATTGTGATTAATTAAATATCAAAATAATTAATCTAAATTTACTTAAACAATTGAAAAGGAAGAAATTTTAATTAAAAATAATAAAAAGAAATAATAATTAAAATAAAACTAATCAAAATATGAGGTAATAAGGCATCGATTTCACCATAATCAATTAATATAAATTTTGAATTAATATGCTTTCAAAAACAATTTGTTGAGTGTTATTACATGAGATAATGGATTTTTCTAAATTAATTAACTAGTTTTCTCAAATCTAGTTAATTCTTTACTTATTTATTAAATTAATCATGTTTTTATGTAATTTAAAACAAACTAATAAGTATTAAATTTTATAAAACCTTTAGCTTAAAAAGGGGAGCTCCTAACTTTCCTCTTCCTCCACTATCATATATGCTAATTACCTTACGGTTTCATAGTCTAACATATGGTTTATATTATTATTAGCCTAATTTATGCAATTATTTTTCAAGTTCATACATAAATCATCAAATCAATTGAAAGGTGATAAAGCTTTCAATGCATTAAATTTATTAATATAAACTCATCGTGTGAATAATTTTAATTAAAAGTATAAAAATCATAAAATTTATAACAAATTGATCAGGCTATATCACAACCTTAGTAAAATAAATTAGTTTATGATAAAAATAATAAAATTTGAAATTATAATTATGAATATAAGAATATCAAAGAAGAATAAAATCAAATTTGAGAAAATTAAAATCATTAATCTCCTATTATTCTTTATATTGATATCTAAAAATGTCTAAAAGAAAGTTGCCACTGGCCTCTAAAGGCTCCCTAAATTTTGAATTTGGATGAATATTTATAAGATTTTTAAAAACTAATTAAAATAAAAATAAGACCCACACCCAAAATAATAAATTAGCATGGATTTTTTTGAAAATCACATAAGAGGTTAACACCTTCAACTAGGTACCGACACCTTCCGTTAAGTGTTGACTGAAATCACCGTGTTGGGTTTTTAGCCTTCTAAACAGTTTCTATTAATGGTAAAATGATAGTTCTAGTCCCTAACTTTTGAACTTTGCACAACTTAATCCTTATCTTTTTTATCTTTACAATTTGCTCCTAAAAATTATGATTTCTTTCAATTAAGTTCTTTCCTGAACAAAAAATAAAAATTATGTAAAATCAATTAAAATCTCATAAAATTTATCCAAATATAACTACTATCGTGATAAAAATTCTACATTAATATATATATATATAAATTCAGCTCATCACTCAACTTTAAAGTTTGCACAATTTTCATCCCTCGTCTTTTTATGCCATTTTTTAGCCCCTCAACTATAAAAAATGCACTTTTCTAATTTTTCTATTAGTTAATCTGTTAAATTTATTTAAATATAAACATTTTTAATCCTTTAACTCAAAATTGAGGACTAAAAATGTGCATATATTAAAAGTTAAAAGACTAAAAATGTGCGAATTCTGATAGAGTTAACGAACTAACTAATAGAAGAATTAAAAAAATGCATTTTTCATTGTTAAAAAACCAAAAAAGTACATAAAAAGTTATGAGATGAAAATTATGTAAAATCTTAAAATTGAGGGATTAAAATTGATATTTAACCAACTTTGATATGATTACTTAGAGATGTTGAAAAAATTCAAGTAGAGGGTCTTTAAGGTCAACAGGAGAGATTTGATAGTTACATGATGGAATTAGTGGTCACTCCGTTTAAGTAAATCAGAGGGTTTTCTATAAGAGTATATATATA